TAAACGCGTTTTTCTCGAAACAACGTTTTTTCGGTGGGCGGGCATGATATCTCCGAAACTACTCTACTGATCTTTCTGAAATTTTAACCACATACTCTAAACATGAATGGCTATCTCGCATGCTATAACCAAGTCAAAATATTAATTTTTACTATATTTTTTTTACAAAAAACTACGAAGAAAATCAACGATTTTTTTCTTTTTTGAAAAATGGCCGTCATTTTGTTTTGTTTTCATAAAAATTGATAGTTTTAGCATACCCGATAGCTATTGTTATACTGAATTTAAAACCGTTTAATTTTTTTGTTTTAAATCACCCGTTCTCAAATTTCGATGCCCGCCAACAGCATACCTACTTTTGACGGGTTCACGTTTGTCAGCCATTTTGGATGTCAAAAAACGTTAAAAACAATAAAAAAAAAATTTTTTCTTGTACTTCTAGAGTGTATTTATCATACCCAACAACTTTCATATGTATATGTATCCTACAAAGCCTTAAAAAAATCGTAAAAATAGCCTTTTTTTCGGCGTATAAACCAAAATGATCCTTAATACATTTTAAACCAAGGACCTCTCTCCGATTTCTGTTTCGAGAATATTCGAAAGATTTCGGTTAGCTTACCAAACAATAACAACAGTCAATATCATTATACATATACTTATTGGGAAGGTTATATATATTGACGATTACACTCTAAATATAAGCTGAAATTTACTTAAAACGTAATATTTCAACAATTTCTTTTATTTATTATTATAACTCTTGAAACGAATATCCTACTTCATTTTTGAAAAAAATTCATAAAAATTCAAGTGGCAGCTAGGGGCAGCTGAATTTTGTTTTATTTAGTAGATAAAATACTTTTATGTGTATAACCTCCAACACAGCTTAAAGCAGCAAAATGTATAGCAATCTATTACTTTTTCCTCTTACAATTCAAATTTTATTAATAATAATACAAAAAAACTTTCACTTATATTTCTATTTCTAACAATTTTCTATTTAACAATTAATTCGCAGAAATTTTTTCACATATTGTACTAACCTTCAGTTGAAGATTCCATTTTGTCCTGCTTAATTTTGTTTATTTCCAGAACTTTTACACGATCGTAAAGACGCGTCTACCGTTCGCTCTGTGACTACAATTGTGTAGCGCTCGAACAAAGGCCACATTTCGATTGAGATTGAGGAGGGGATTTAGGGAAAGGAACGTTACTGTGAACAGTTTTCGTTTCTTAGGGGATCCCTTTAGCCAACCCAATGATGAAAAAACTCCAACTAGAAACTTTTCTTTTTCGAATTTTGGCCGCATAATCGGGGCATTGGCCGCACAGTGGGACGCATTGTCACCTCTTTTGTTCAAATTAGTACTGGAATTTGCTGTCAAAGAACTGCAGAAAAGTAAAGATGGTCTACAGTTAAACGGGACAGTACAATTGTTGACATACGCGGACGATATTGCTTTGCTAGGGGACAATAAAGAGTCGTTTATTAATAACGCAAAAATATTAATAGATAATACAAAAGATCTGAAACTACAAATAAGCGTGTGGAAAAAACCAAATATATGGTCACCGATAGAATTCAGAATGTGCCTAATACTGGAACTTTGATCGTCCGGGATAAAATTTTTGAACGCGTCAGCAACTTTAGGTACTAGGTTGTTCACCAAGTTTTGCGGTTTGATAAGAAAGGGGGTTGCTACTAGCCAAAATTTTTTTTTGTTATGTTGGTACACTCTTCATACGAACGTATATGAAGTTTCATTTCAATCTGTCAATTCATTCTTTGTTTACAAGCCATTTAATATCGACGTGTCACAGTATTTTTTTACATTGGAAAAATCAAGTATTTATCAAGTATCATCTGAAACAAAACAAGAGGCTAAAGAGTGGTGTGAACCTGGTTCTCCGGCTCTGAAACGAGTTCGTGTCCAGAAATCGGCTAAGAAGGTGTTAGCATCAGATTTTTGGGATGCGAAAGAAATTTTGTTTGTGGATTACTTGCAAACTGGTAAAACAATAAATTCTGAATATTATTGTAACCTTTTAGACCAACTGAAGAAAAAAATTCGTGAAAAAAGACCCGGTTTGCAGAAGAAAAAAAATCCTTTTTCATCAGGACAATGCACCGTATCACAAGAGCATTTTGACAATGGCTAAAATCCATGAATTAAAGTTCGAATTGTTGGAGCATCCACCGTATTCACCAGATTTGGCCCCTAGCGACTTCCATCTGTTTCAAGATCTAAAAAAAATCATGCATGGAAAGCGTTTATCATCAAATGATGAGGTCATAACAGCTGTGGAAGCGTATTTTGCAGCCCTTCCAAATTCTCACTTCAGGGATGGAATTCATAAATTGGAATCTCGTTGGAACAAGTGTATTGATGTTTAGGGAGACTATACTGAATAATAGAATGTATTTCAAACCATAAAATTGTGTTTTTCTTACCGAACCGCAAAACCTATAATACTAAGCAGCCAAGTATTTAGGATCAATCATAAGCCAAACGAATGAAATTAACGAAGAACTTAAGAAAAGAATCAATTTAGGCAATGCATGATTTTATTCGGTCAATAAATTACTCAGCTCGCGGTTGCTGTCTAGATGCTTAAAAATCAGAATATACAGGACAATCATCCTACCGGTAGTCCTTTATGGTAGCGATACGTGGTCGCTTACGTTACGGGACGAAAAGAAATTTAAGGTTTTCGAAAATAAAGTTTTTCGTAACATCTTTGGTGCAAAACGAGATGAAGAAACGGGCGATTGGAACAAACTCCATAACGTAGAAGTACACCTATTGTACAACAAACCGGACATCATTAACGTCGTAAAATCACGCCGATTAAGATGGGCTGGTCACGTGGTGCGCATAGATTGTTACATTCTTTGTCATTACTTATCCTTCGGGAAAAACAAACCTGCTTGATACTGGCTAAACTCTGTGAATGCATGTTGCTAAAACAAACTTAGCAACGATTTCTAAAAACTCTCGTCTGTGGGACATAACAACCTGATAATACTTACTTCAGAATAATGTTTGAGGCTAATAATAGACTTCTGTGCATTATGAAATCAATTTTTTGCTCGTAATATGCATATCATGAAATTTGGAATCTCCTCACAACAACGAGAAATTCCTGATATCTAAATTTGAAAATATATTAAGGGTTCATTCTGGTTTCTACGCCGAAAAAAAAGGCTATTTTCACGATTTTTTTTTAGGCTTTGTAGAATACATATACATATGAAAGTTGTTGGGTATGATAAATACACTCTAGAAGTACAAGAAAAAAATTTTTTTTTATTGTTTTTAACGTTTTTTGACATCCAAAATGGCTGACAAACGTNAGAAGAAAGCTTTAAGAATTTTTTCAATAATAAACAATATTACTAACGATAATATAAATAAAATTTCGATCAATGCCAACTTAAAGAAAAAACACTTGGTTATTTTCTGCACTGAGTTGGTATCGATTGCACGTATCACGCGAAAGCAGTACTTTTGAGAGTGCTCGATTGTGCGAAGCGTTGCTCTAGTTGAAACATTCAACGTTGAGCATTATGCCGCATAAAGCGCTTTAGTGCTGTAATTGGTAGGGATCCAGTAGGAGGGATGCGCCATTCTTATTCAGCTCATGTGCCATTGGCTGAAAATTTTGGGGGACCGCTTGAATTTATAATAATTTTTTCGTGTAACCTATTCTATTTTAATATAAATTTTTAATTATCATTAAATATAGTTCTTTTTTTTCTGTATTTGATGCAATTCATTATTTCATAATTATTTCAATGTTTGAATCATTCGCGCGCAAAATCGAGTTCCGGTCCCCCAGCAATGTACATGGCGCATCCCTCCTATAGGATCCCTAGTAATTGGAAAACCACATGAATCACTAAGGCACGGAGGATAGATACCAGGAGTCCGAAAGATATAGGATTTTTCACATTTTTTGTGGTAGTCATATCTCGACCCAAATAATAGTTCTCGTTTTTGCCACTGGCTGCGCAAGTATTCAGAACGTATAGAGCACTATAGAGATGAGTACTCTCATCCGCCATTTTCACTCCTACAGAGAAGACACCAGTATGGTTTTGTATGGTAAACAGGTTTGTTGACATCAAGCGAGATTGAATTATTTATTGATAACTGTGTTAAATTTTATTAAAAAAATTATTTGATAGTTGATGTTAGTACTTAACCTTTCTATTTTTAACATTAAAAGATAGATTAAACTACAAAATACTATTCAGTGATTGATTTTTAAACATGGATAACCTCTCTATTTGGAACGTTTCAGTAATAATTTGGTAAGTAATGTTTTAGTATTACTCTGAAAAATAGATAATCTGTTTAAATTATAAAAATACTGGATTTGTTTAGTAATATATATTAAATATATTGAATAACATATTACAAATAAAAGCTCAATAACTCTTATTTTTATTTTAAAACAGATGAAAAGTATGCCAGTAAAAAAGGAAGACAACAACAAAAGATCAGTCGCTGCTAAAAGCAAAATGGTATTATATTCTTATTTTGAAACATTAATTATTTATGTTTATGTTATATAAATATGTAAATTAATTGTAAATTTAAAAATAATAATTGTATCTTTTTTAGAAGTATGAAAGTGGAATAAAATCTGTTGACGAAGAGACCGTTGTGTCTTTGCTTGCAGGAAATCTATCTATATGAAAATCTATGAGGGCTTAAATAGAGAGAATGAATGCAATTTTATAAGAATATAAATCGTATTCAGCAGCTTCAGAATATTTAAGCAAATACAATGTTTCATAATCATGAACTTAATTAAACATGGTAAAAATTGTATATATTTAAAAAAAAAAGTAATGAACTGCACATAGCATAAGTGAGTAGTTAGAATTGTACATTTGAAATAAAATAAATTTGTATCATTTGTATGAATATATCTATATTTATTTATTCATTTGTTCCGTTGTAAAAATATTATAAAATTATAAATAATAAAATTAACATCATTATTAACAATGCACAATATATGTGCAGCAAATGCATAAATTAAATGTTTAAAACTCTTCATTTCATAGTCGCAGATCCATACACTTTGGTATGACGTTTGCAGTTCTCATAATAATTTTTCACGCAATACTAAGGAACATTGAAAAAATGTTTAATTATTTTGTACTTAACACAGCAACAATTTGGAAAATCAATGTTGATTTTCTCAAATAATACTTTTAATAAATCACAGTTACTATTTCTAATTATCACATCTTGGTACAAAGTGAAATAATGTTCACAATGTAAAATTAAATTATAAGTTTCCATACATGGTTCCTTTAAACCACCTTTGTTTAACCCTTTGGTGTAATACTTTGCTTTTTTTATAAAATCTATATTTGGCAAATTTAAAGATGTCAAAAATTGCACACAATTTCTACAAACACGTTTGGCTACAGCATTAGTTGTGCTGCCAGCTAAATAAAAGATGCTATTTGCATCATAACGAGAAATCCAATTGCTAAACTCGTCAATTAAAAATGTTTGCACACAAAACTGAGTATCACTTGTTTGTAGCTTTTTTACTGGAGGTTCAACAGTCTTATTTACATCCAATACTGGATGGTTATTACAAGCAAGCGTTAAAATAAGAAATTGTAAACTTTACAATACTATGATCGTTCTATTTATATACAAAAAGAATAAACATACCTTCAATTTTTGCTAGACAAAGCCCAAAAATCTTTGTAGCGAGCTTAGAAATTTTTATTGAAAATGTATTTTTCACTATGTTTTCAGACAGATATTAATAGTTGTTTACGACTATTAAATGACTATTAAACGATTTCAATAAAATTTCTTCTTCATTCATTCACAAATAATTAAAAAAATTGCAAAAAATAACGATAAAACCTCACTACATACGTTTTTTTAAAACTTCCGCTCACTCGAGGAGTGAAAATGGCGGATAAGAGTACTCATCTCTATAGTGCTCTAGAACGTACCGATACTATTATTATTATTACACGTAAATTAAATGTAAAATATTAATTTATTTTCTTAGAATTATTTTTATTAAAAAATGGGAAAGTGGTTGTGCCGTTTATGATTGCCTTAGTGGCCGAAAGGCAAGTGAGAATTTAGGAAAAATGGCTTTATTCAAAGCACCAAAAGTGAGTAACCTCAAAACAATATTAAAAATTTTATGTTAACAAATAATTGATTATTACATTTGTGTAGTTTTTAAATAATATTAATTCCACGTTTCTTAAAATATTTTTATTCAGAGCTGTCAATAGCAACAAGACTTCCCGCGTAAGTATTTAAACGAGTACTCTGTAAAAAGCAGCGCGCCCTACCGGCAAAATATCTTGTCCCCTAAATTGATACCATTCTTTCAACATTACGTTCGGACTCCTGGTATCTATCCTCCGTGCACTAAGGAGTCAAGCAACCAGGGATTCCATTCGTACGATAATTATCGTACACGTCACATAATTTAAAAATAATTTGAAGCATTGTACGATCGTACATTTAATTGTACGATAATTCGATAATTTTCGATATGTCTCGATTATGTTTCGAATTGCAGCGAAAAGTCGATATCTACTACTCGGTACTCGAGGTATTCGATGGCCAATACGTCCCATAGTCGCAAAAATCTGGAAATCCGGAAAACCATTTTGTTTACCTTTTCAAGAACTTGAGATTGAAACTTTTTTCCGGTGTGTACGATAATTTTACGCCCCTGTGTCGATCAGACGAACTAAAGTCTCTGGGATCACTGCAAGCAACGGTAGTCGAGACGGCAATGCAGAAAAAAATACTGCTCCTAAATCACGTGTGAAATTCATTTTGTCCATTTTTCTCCTCCTTTGCTTTTTAAAGGCTGCTTGCTTGACCAAGATAACGTCGACGTCACCAATTGTAGGTATTACCTTACGTGCGGGAAATGGACAATATGAACTTCACACATGACTGAAGAGTAGTTTCTTTTATTGTCTTGCCGCAGTGATCTCAGAGACTTTAGTTCGTCTGATCGACACAGGGGCGTACAATTATCGTACGCCCAGGAAGAAATTTGAAATCCGATAGTTTCTCGGACGAGATTTTCAAAATCTGGAAAAAGAGTGCAAGTTCCAACTATTTCAAAGTTGATGACCTTTTTTTTTTTTNTAGGGAAAAACATTTAGCAACATTTGAAAAGTTTTCGTGTCGCCATCGCCGATATAAAAACCATATTTTACGGAGAACTTCTTGAGTGATCGAAGAAACATCTCCACGATACCATCAACCTCCATCTTCCCGGCACTACCTTCATGGTTTATCGTACAATGCGTTTTATGCTGTTCGTACCAGGCAAGATAGTTTATTTCCTTCACTTTTTTTTTCCACATCTCACATCCCTTACAGTAAGTWGACCTTATAGAAACGTCGACAATTTTTCCACTATATTTTAAAATTAGAGAAACTATTCCAATCAACGAAGAGAATCCTCTTTTRGCCCAAGAGCCGTCGCCAGAAACAGACAGAATATCCTCTGGTTCTCCTCGTCTCTTGTTTTCGAGTTGCTCTTCGGTGACGGCTTTATGCGACACTACATTAAAAACAGCATTGACCGCGATTAGTATAGAGTCAACGATTCCATAATATGCAGAGATACTTAAACCTTTTCCGAGGTCCATAAGATTGCAAAACATATTTATACCATGCACACCAATACCAAGTAGCCCTCCTAAACTTTCCTTTTAGTCTCTGCATAGAGTTTTCCTTTYCAAAAAAAAGAATATAGCGAAAAAAACTGAATACTAGTTTTGTTTTCCTACACCACTCCGAATAATATGCAGAGACATTTCCACTTAAACAACCGTTTATGGTTTGTCTCCTCTCTCTGTAATATCTCTGTGTTTGGGTCGCAAAATAATATACTTAGACTGTTCGGATCGTTCTAAAATTTTTGTATGATAATTCTACATATGTCTACTTTCGAAAAATGCAAAAAAAAAAAAATTAATTTTTTCAAAATTATAAACCAGAATGAACCCTTAAACAGTAATTCTTAAACACTCAGAATTAAATCAATTGACCTCAACTATATCAATGTGACTTTAACAGTAAGCTTTTGTTTATCATAAAATGGAGCATTTTAAATGGCTATTATTCAAAAGTATTGAACGTTTCAATTAAAAATATTGCTCAAATCCAATTAGGAATATTGCATAGGAACAAGAAATGATCAAAATTAAAATGAATAATTTGAGATAACAGAACAATTTTAATAAATGTTTATTGAAGTAATAATGAAATTTTACTTTAATAATAATAATTCAATATAATGTGTAACAAAAGAAAAATAAATTATGTACTTATTGTCAGTATATTAAACATATACTCTATTTTAAAAAGAGAAATTCAAACTAGATTCTAAACGATATAATTAAATATTACTATTAAACACAGACGTCTGTATATGCAATAAACAAATTTACTGATAGTTTATATCTATGTTATGTACAATAAGGCAACATTTGTTTTATAAGTACCTATTAATTAATTTTTTTTTTTAATTACTATGTTTCTCGCATTACTATGTTAATCGCGGTATATTTGTATCCACTTAAATCGTCTTTGATAATAAAAATCATGTACCTTTGATAACTTCTGTTATTTTCTAACACCGAGATATTTTAAGTTGACTCGAAAAGTTGATCAACACTTATCTCTGATATTATATTTATCTTAGTATAACCTTCATGCTCCTTCCATTAAATTAAGACTCTTTAGCATTTTTTTGCTATCGTTAAATTGCGCGATACGACACTGTCTCATCTATAAATAAAGGATTTTTATGAATATTATTCATTTGAATTAAAACGTTTGAAAATATATGAAGTTTAAGAAACAGAGTCAAGTTGAAAATAATTAAATAACAATTGTGGAAATAGTTTTTTTTTCTATGATATGAAGCTTGCACATTTCTATTCTAAGATTTAATTTATCTTCGCTTAAGTCACTTAACGTCACAAATGTTAACAATATGAAGATGCACTGCATCGTCAGCGAGACTTAGATTGTATGATTGCTCAAAATTAATCAGTGCGAGTACTTATACAGTTTACTGCGAGTTCTTTGCATAGTTGGTTTAAATTGTCATAAGAATAATCATCAGTAAAAACAGTGGAAAATTTACCTGCCAACATCTAAAATATATAAAGACATTAAAATGATTTCATCGAAGTTATCGATTATTTTAACAATTTTGGGATTAACGAGTGTCGCTTATACGGAAGAAACTGCACCCAGAATAAAAACACCTTTAGGAGGCATCCAGGGGTATTATAAAATATCTGCAGACGGTAGACCTTATGAAGCTTATGAAGGAATTCCTTATGCTATACCTCCTACAGGAAAATTAAGATTTAAGGTATAGACATAATATTTCTTTTTTTAAATATATCTCTTATTTTATAAGAACAATCCTTTTACTATTTATGATCGTATTTCAAATAGTGAAGAATTTTCTAGTTTCTTTAGTGCAATTTTAACATGAAAGTATCCTGTTATATAATTATTGATCGTTACTTAACATGCATATAGCGTCTAAGTTATTTAGGAGTTTGATTTGATTATTTTTTAAATTTTAATTTATAGCCTCCACAAAAAATCCCAGCATGGCCTGGTGAACTTATGGCAACTAAATTTGGCTCTCAATGTTTACAATATGTGCATATAGTTGATAAATCGGGAGAAAGAGTTAAAGGCTCAGAAGATTGTCTATATTTAAATGTTTATGTTCCTAAGCGTGAATCTAGATTATCACTTTTACCAGTTATTTTCTGGATTCATGGTGGAGGCTTCCAATATGGTACTGGAATGCATCTCGGACCTAAATATTTAATGGATCAAGATGTCATATTTGTCTCAATAAATTATCGTTTAGGCCCATTAGGTATATTCGATAAAAAATTCAATATCTCAAAAGATTAATTATTATTTGATTCTTGTAAATGTTTTTATATAATAAATATCCTCTGCAGGTTTTCTAAGCACAGAGGATGATGTTTTACCAGGTAATATGGGACTCAAAGATCAAAGTATGGCACTGAGATGGGTTTCTGAAAATATTGAATGGTTTGGGGGTAATCCTAATAAAATAACATTGGCTGGTCTAAGTGCTGGTGGTGCTAGTGTACATTATCATTATTTATCTCGTTTAAGTTCTGGTCTTTTCCAAGGTACTTATAACAAAAAAAAATATTTGTTGTCTATTCTACCATACATCTTTACATATTATGAATTTATTTTGTCTAATGAAAATTCTTTTAATACGCAGGAGGCATGTCTATCAGTGGTACGGCATTAGATTGTTGGACACAAACTGAAAATGCTTTAGAGAAAGCTAAAAAATTAGGTGCTTTAATGGGTTGCCCTACAAGTAATACTCGAGATATGGTAAATTGTTTGAGGTACCGACCAGCTCAGAATCTGGTCGCAGCAACCAAAGAGTTCCAAGTAAATATCCATTTGTTTTTTAATAAATAATAAAATTAGATAATATTATTTTCAACTGATGTAATTTTTTCTCAATAGGTGTGGTTATACAATCCTTTCACACCATTTGGCCCTGTCGTTGAAAAACACGAAGATGCTCCTTTCATCGATCAATCACCTGCAGATATTATTAATAGCGGTAACGTTCAAGATATTCCATGGATTACAAGTTCTACCAGCGAAGAAGGACTATTTCCTGTAGCTGGTAACTTTTTAAATATGAACATTTGAAAATGATTTATCCTAAAAAATTTTTTATAAATAAGATTGTCAATTGTTTCACATATACAGACTTTGTGACCAGCGATAGGTACCTCAAAGAACTTGATGAGAATTGGAATACTATTATACCTCATTTCCTTGATTATAATAATACTATTCCAAGAGAGAAACATGTAGAAACAGCTAAACTTATCAGAAAGCATTATTTGGGTTCTAAAAAAATTGATAAAATGACCATTGCACCTCTAATACAAATGGCTGGAGATAGATTTTTTGTAGTTGATAGCGAAAAAGCTGCAAGGTTACAGGCAAAAGTAAATCAACAACCTGTTTGGTATTATCACTATTCATATAGATCTGAACACAGTTTAAGTGAAATTATGAGCGGAAGCAACGAAAATTTTGGTAAGAAAAATAAAAAGTTAATTTCTATAGTATAAATTTAAATGCAATATTCATATTTTCATAAATAATTTTTATAGGCGTTAGTCATGCCGATGATGCATATCTTGTTTTGGAGACTCCATATATTGACCCAATAACAAGAAGTGATGATATTCAGATGCAACAAGATCTAATTGAACTTTGGATTTCGTTTGTCAATAACAAGTGAGTTATGTCTATCTACAAAAATATACTATTTTCATAAGCAAAGATAAGTATAAACGATACTCTAAGATATCATAATCAACAAAATTATTATCAAACGAGTCAAAGATAACGATTTGATTGTTTAGTCTAGAAAAGATTTAAATCCTTTTCCTCTCTCTCTCTATACTCATTGAATTTAATATAAAATATTTTCAGCATTCCCCGCATCGGTACAAGCAAATGGACCAAAGTAGACCCATCTCAAAAAGAATTCAATTTCCTTCACATTGAAGGACCAGGAAAGTATTCCATGAGTAAAAACGACAATTTAGGGCAAAAAAACTTTTGGAACACTATCAAGTTTAAGGAAAATATATTACAATCAACGAAACACGTAAAAGAAGATCTCTGAACAGAAAATATTTTATCTAATACAATGATGGGTATACTTTTCTGTTTTTTTTTTTTAATATACATGTATATTTTTTCGTTTTTTATATTTGTTTAAGTTCATTTATGAAGTAGTTTAGAAAGTTTAAATATATATACTTTATCTAGTATCTTTAGATTTTTAATTTCAATAATTATTTTATTACTATCTTTTATTTATTAAGAGACATAACAATATGTCATGATTATGGAAAAGTAGATAAAAGATATTGTGAGAGTAAAAAGTTTTCAAGGAGAACTAGAAAAGATAACGAGGAAGATAATAAGAAATAGTTAATAAATATTTTACATATACGTTTGATTATTTTTTAAGTAAAACGTTTTATCATGATTAAATTTAAACCGTACCCAGTCTCAATATTTAACAACAATACTTTATTAATTCATTTAATTGTTTGCTTTAATATTCCATATTTTTACACACTCAATAACTTGCACCAAATTTATACATGAAAAAATAAGACAAAATGTATATCTCGTTTATTGAAAAATCTGATCGACATCATTAAATAATAAATCGATAACTTTTTTGTTTACAACAAAAAATTTTTTTAAATATTAAAAAGAAATCTATAAAAAAAGTGCAATATACACGATCAATTTTTATACGGTATACAATCCTGGAGACATTGTTTCTCAAAAATCATTTAATATATATTTTGTTTCTGATACTCATAACATATATTTATATAATATATATTTTGGAAATAATTAATATGTAACAAATACATCTAAATACGAAGTGCACAATATGAATTCCAATATTATATATCTGCTGGCAGTTATACACTCCTTTAGAATAACAATAATAACTAATATTACAAATAATATTGAAAATAATACACTTTAATAGATTACTTTACTTAGCCATTTACTTTCTATTACCACTGTTTGCTCTTGTAATGTGTTAAATTAGTACGGATTTGCGAATTTTTCTCATGATTTAAAAATAATTAAGTTAGATGCCTTATAACTGCGATAATGATTAATTCTTGCAAGTTGAATAATATAAATCTTTGGTTATAATTTTTGAGAACAAGAATAGCTCGTATAGAACGCTGTTAAGAGCACCATGGCATGCGCGCGTTTTTATGTTTAAGATGTATCTTCTCTACATGCTATCTTGAAAAATGAATCCTTTAATTTCTGTTTAACCAAGAAATTGCTTTTAATATGAAATATGCTAAAGTTAATGTATACAAAATTTTATCTCTTTGTTGCCGTTGTAATATTTCTAATTCAACTGCCATTACTCGACGATTTAGTTTTCCAACTTGTCGACGTAAATGTTGTACTTCTTCGCTAGGTGGAAGAGATACATCTACTGAACTGTAGGATGGTGTTTGTTCTCTAAAACATTTATAACACAGACATGCATATAGTGTTGAAGATAAAAATACAACTCAATTTTCAGATATGTCTTTAGCTTACTTATATAAGTTAAACAAAAATAATTTATGCATGTATATTTATATACCTTCCACGCTTAACGATCTGTGTTTCTTTATTAAACTGGGGATTGATCCTAGATAAGTCTTTAACTTCACTAGCATTAATTGTCTGATCTTCTTCATCTACTGTAGGAAAATAGTGATCGTCCAGCGTTAAGATTCTTGGTGGTGTCTAAAATAAGTAAAAAAATACAAATATATAATGCAAATGAAATATTGCTTTTCTTTCTTTCCTCTATAGAAATCTATTTTATATACCTGAACTCTAATAATGCCTGGTTCCGGTGGCATTACAGCATTTTCTAGAGTAATTTCTCTTGGTGGAGCTTTCGTACCAATATGTTGTTCTTGACCTGTTTAAATAGAAGGAATAAACATAACATAATATAATAGAACGATAAAAAAAAATATATTAAAGTACTTGCCTACAACAAGAATCCTATCGGGTACATGCATTTCAAGCTTCTCGTTTGAGTTCGCTTGATTCCAAGCAGAACCATTCATAGTTGAAATGTCTTCATCTGTATAATCTCCATTTACTCGAATACTTTTAGGGACTCTCATTCTTTTATTAACGTCCAAAGTAAAATTAGGGTCATAAAAATTGTCAGCTTCTCCATTAAAACGAGCAGGTATATGAGTTTTTGACATTGTCACTGAAAAATAACTAGAAACTATCATATACCATTTTATAATTATGTTTTTATATAATTCTAGAAAATTATCTTATATTTCAATAATGTAAATACAATAAATAGACAGCTTTTCCTTTTTAAATAAATCTAATATTTTCACACATTGTCAAGCTTATGTAAACAAAGGGAAGAAATAATAAGCAATTGTACCTATATGCATGGAAACTTTTGTTTAAAATACATCAGTGAATTCTTTTAAACGTATCATATATGATATTTGCGTCACAGTTGAAAAAATGATATTTTTCAAAGTTAATATCAACTTACACACTGCAACAGATCACACGAAGTCATGAGTATTTAAAGGTTAAACACTTGCTTTAAATACCAAGGTATTTTCAATAAATAAAGAACGATATAACCTTCGATATGATAATCGACAAGTCACTTGCGATTCATATAACAATTAAAGACAAAGATGTTGATGTTTTTTCATTCTCATCTACGAGGGAAACTGATAGGAAATGTAATTAATCATTGTTTGAATATCAACTGATTAATATTACATTTAACATGTCAATATATTAAAATATTAATTTACCTTTCTCACCTCTCTGGATCGTTAAATTTACAACTTTTAAATGAAGTTAGTTGCGAATATGTTACGATATCTTCGCGACACTTCTCTTACGATTTATCGATTATAATCTAATCGATTCATATTATGAAAATAACCGCGAAAGATCGCGTTTTTCGTTTTTTTTCAACTATGTATTGAAATGAAAATGTATGAAAGTTCGTTAGAAATTTTATTGTTTCTCCGACAGTTATGGATTCATTTCAATTAAAGTAAGTAGTTAAGTTATACTTACTTTAAATAATATCCCTACTTACGCTACCGTAACTTACATGAAGTTACGTAGTTCTTGACTTTATCGTTAAAAACGAGTAACCCTGAGTGTACTAACCGTGGCAAATCATTAAGTGCACACAGAGTCAATTCGAATCCATACAATATTTGAATTTGAATATCATCGCAACTATATACTTTTTTTTTGAAAAGGTAGAGATATTTATTGTGAAAAATTGATTAAATTTTAAGCCTGTGCAATAAGATATGCAAAATTAAAAAATATAACTATATGATAAAAAAAATTGTTGATCTTGTCAGGCAATTAGATTTGGAAGTCAAAAGTGATGATGTCACAAGCAAACTATCTCTGAAGTATCCGACACCTCAAACTCATTTCTATCAGACAACCACATGACAATTACAAGCTTGACAATTGACAATTAGATTATGATATTTTCTTCCCTCCGGGTGAAAAGCGTCAACTTTTCTCCCGCTGTTCAAAACGAAGTTGCCGCTAGCTATCCGCCTACTTCGAGCAAAAAAAGAAGTATACTCACCATGGGCAGTAAATAAGAAAACCTCAGAGTACATGTACTCTGAGACATTTCTTACTTTACCTCCCTAGGTGAGTAATATACTATTCTTTAAATAAATAAATTCATGAGGAGAGTGAACACATGTAAATATATTTTATTAATATATATGTTTTTGAATATGTGTACGTATATGTATATTTGTTTAGTTCCTATATTTTTTAATTTATAAAATATCATCTCACAGCTTAAATATTTATTAAAAATCAAATTGAATTTTATAATAATGTAACAAATGTTATTAATAATTGGTATACAATATAAAATATATTACAATATTATCTAAATTGTTCGTATGTGCGCGCACATGCGCGCGTGTTATTCTAAATACAAATAGGCCTCTATGGCTCAGCTCGATGTGCATGAATGTTAAGTATGTATTTATTTTTTCTTTCATAAACTATTTAGTCATTATAATATTATCAGTTTCAAAAGATCATTTATGTAAAAAATAATTCTTACAAATAATTTCTATGTGCATATAAAAGAGAGATATAAAATCATGTGATATACGAATAGTACAAATTTTTGCGATATCTTGGTTACGTTAATGTGAATTGCTAAAAAACGATATAACGTTGGAGAATACTATAAAAAAGATAAAATAACATGTAATTCTATTTACAAGTATATCTTATATAGCATACGGATTGACTACGAATTAAATTTGTTTAATACGATAGTGTACCACTCTTACATCATCGATTTAATATCTTGTGTGAATGTATTGCACGAAACATTATATTTCTCTATCATTTTTTAAAATCGCTTCTTTTTAATTTTTTATATATAAGAAATGGGATAAATGTTCTTTTGTTCTCATTAGAAAAAATTATTATATAATATATGTCAAATAATGAAATCAACGTGATAGAAACTCTGATGAAATTAACAATTATGCTTTTCTATATCAATTAAATAGTAACAAATTCTTTTGTACGCTATTTGCTACCAAAACATTTTTTTTTAAACAATTGTATTTTACTTATTGTATTTCTTCTATATTGTCAACTTTAATGATCATATAATTGTATACAGTAATAATATATTAATGCGTACAATTATATTCTATAACTTTCATAAATACAATTATTTGCAGCAGTGATTGCACTTAAATATAGATATGATCTATCTATTTTTATCCCAATTCGTGCATGTATATATATATAGAGAATATATAATAACTGACTCTTTTTCTCAATTGTAAATAGCAAAATATATACATTACGTGTCATACTATATTTTCTTATGATAATATAATTGAATTCAAAGAGCTAACTACAGTTCTCTGCAAGCAGTTAATGAAATGCAATGGAAATGATGTATTTATCATTATTTTTGTCTATTTGAAAAATGGAAAAATGTCTTATTTTTTATTTTTATTCTCGTGTAACATTATATCCGGATATTTCGGAAAGTCAACGGCATCGACAGGATTTTTCACTTTAAAACTAGGAAATAGTCCTGTCATACTAGTTCTAGTGTTGTAACCTTTGGAATAACCATCCCAATGATTTCCATATACGTCAATTAAATCACCAATTTTCAATTCCAATTCGCCACTTTTTCTTGGTTTATGATCCATAATAACTATATGAGGATGCGAATTTTGTCCACCGTAATAATAAATATCATCCAACGATGCAAATCTATTATATGCATCTGAGTAATAAGTTTGCATTAATTCGTACGCAACTCTGCATACTTGCGAACTAAATGTACACACTAGATAATCACTCAAAGACAAAAGATGTATATCTATAATAATTCCTTGTAAAGATGAGTCCGAATAACGTTTTGACACTGATGCTGTCTCAGCTATTTCAGGATCACCAATAATTTCGTAATTGGGATAGCGACTTCTTGCTGATGTTATTACTTTTGGATCATCGCTAGCCAAAAATACTCGTTTTACATCTGGTTTTGTTTCCAGTTGATCAAAATATTGGTCTACCTTAATCATATACTCATCTATGTCGTGATATGCAGCTTCAGTACCGACTTTATCGGTTCTACGAACGTGAACGCCAACGATTGGTTTTTTAAAACCTAATTTCTCTTTTGCGTTATCTAATACTTTTTGCATATTATCTTGAGGTCGCATTAAGTATTTTAAGACTTGTCCCACCCACCAAACTAATGGATGACCATGCAGCTTCTTTAATCTTTCCGCTATATCTGCTGGTACACTTGGAGGTTGAAATTTAGGTTTAGGATAAACGTTATCCACAATTGGCAAGGAAATAACTTGTTTAGAAGAATCACCGGGCCAATTAGCATGAGATATACCATTTACGGATAAACATGTATCACTAAGAGGCTTAAAAACTGATTCCCAACCTTCCTTACGATATCTCCAACCTTTTGATTTTATTACAAGCGTTCTTTCCGTTCCGTAGGCAACCAAAAAACAGTAAGTAATATGATGTATCTGTAATTAAATTATATTCGATCGATCACATATATATTCAAACGATATGATCATATCTATGATTTATTGAATATAACTTACCTGGCAACCGAAGCCACAGCCTTTATTTAAACTGCATACTAACTTCTTTGCTTTATTGCAATCGGAAGGATTTTGTAAATACCTTAATAAAGAAATATAAATACGTTAAGTATACAACAGTTAGAACATAAATACCACAAATAATATTCCATCTTACCTGAATCGACTTTGGACAAGATCCGATAATTCTTTAGCCTCTTTTTTTCGCCATTCTTCGTGACCATCAGCTTTCGTTAATCTATCTATATCTATAATAAGAGACTTTTTATGTTCCCAAATATTACTTACTGCATCTTGAATTTCTTTTTCTTTTTGCTCAAGAGAAAATTCGTCTATGTGCTTTTTGAATTTCGTTAATACAGCATTCATATAGTACCTATTAAGTAACAAATATAGTAAACAAACGAAGTAACAATGCATTAAAAATGCATTCTTAATTATTTTTTAAGAAAATTTACGTACCACATTTCCTGTACATCATTTCTTATTTTACGCCGTAATTCTTCGTATTCTAAAGAAGGTATATTATTTTTAGATCCAACATGCTGATCCAATAGATCATAATAAATTGAAGCTCTATCAGCTCTTTCTTGAGCCGAACCCAAATGATCTCCTTGTAAAGATTTAGGTCCATCTCTAATAATCGTATTGACTTTAATCATTCAAAACTCAATTACAATAAAATTGATACATGTACAAATTTACATACCTTAGTATAATATTTTTTAAAGCATCATTTTGTTTCTTAATAATTTCAAAATCATTAATCATTTGTGCTAAACGTTGAGCATTTTCTTTATTTGTAGGAGTCCCATCTTGTGATGATATAGAATTTGTTTTGAAAACGTGTAGAACAGATATAATTAATATTAATAGCCATGTTGCTAGCAAAGCTATTCCCAATTTACCTAGCCATCCAGGTCTCCCTGACCAAAATGTTGCCATTCTAAATTATTGGAATGAAAATCTTCCATTTATTGCATTTCATTGCATCTGCAATCACATTCAATAATAATTTATTATTAAAATAGTGAGTCATTATATTATATTACAAAAAATTTATAAGAAATTATTGTTACTATTGATTGGCAATGTTTATGACATTTTGATAAATCTAAATTAAAAGAATATATTTTTAAATAAATATAAACGTTACGAGAAAAATTAAATATTATCATCGATGTATCTTCTACGCTGTGACAAGATAATTATTAATTGTTTTTTATCTTTCATTAGAGATACGTAATAAATATGACACATGATCATACACAAAATCATAATACTACATAGACATATATCGAGTACTTAAGAGAAACAGTTCATCATAAGAATTAGTATTTATTCTTGTAACAAGAATATATACAAAATCTTGATAATAACAGATAGTACCTAATTAGATAATTGTTATTTAAGAAATCAATCCAATATAGAACTCACAATATTAAGATCAAATAGATACTAGCTTGATCATAGTATAATTACTTCCGCTTTTGCGTGCATGACAGCGCCATTATTTTATATCATGTGTTGTTTTTATCCTTTTTGCTTGATTTTGCAGATAAAATTAGTTTCACTAACATCGTTGAGTAATCTTTCTCCAAATTAAAAATGATTCGCTTTTGGAATCAATTAATTAATATTTGCTATGTCATTAATTATTTCGATGTGTCGTAGAGACGTTGTTTATGTTTATATCAATAGTTATTAGGACTCTAGAATAATAATAATAATAATTTATTTAAAAGTTAATTTAACTTAAAAGTTACTTTAAAACTTTGTTTTTTACTTTAAAAGTTAATTTAAAATAAATTTTATCATAATAATTATAACAATATTTGTTAAGTTAATTGTTTTTTAATTAAAAACAATCAAACTTTGTATAGTTTGGTAATATTATTAGGAAATAAATAATTTACACAACCAAATTATTAAATGCTTTATATACTTATTAATATATATATATATATAGTTTTATATAATCCCCATTAATTTTGCAGCTTTTTAATTGGCCCAACCAATTAGCGAATTGGAAAGACGAGCAGTCTAATAATTATCCACACAAAAAAACACAATACAATATTTTCATTGGTTGTTTTCTATCTAGTAATAACCAATGCGATATCAGAATTCTCAAAGAATAAATCCCCGTTTTCCAATTACAGAGCATAATGCGACTCAATGTCGCACAATGCCGCATTGTGCTAATGCTTAATTGGAACATGAATTAGTTTTCAAGTGCACCAGCAGAGTACGCTAAGTTCAGTGTTGAAACAAAAAATATTCATAGACTTAGCAACCTCATTAATGTATAAATAAAGTGGTAAACAATAATAATTGGTCGAAAACTATTTACGGTTATTTTAAGTAATTTGGATTTTGATTATTTGATTACCATTTTTTTAATAAATTTATTTATAGTTTATTTTATATTTTTTTCATAAATTTATTTATAGTTTTGTATTTGAAAATGAAATTGTATTCACATTTTATGTGTAGAATATAAAAAAAAAATAGTCAATGTTTATACCTTCATCCATACTTATATTTATTTTTTAACAGTCTGAATTAACTTTTTATTATTTCCAAAAAACTACGACAAGAAGAAAGCTTTAAGAATTTTTTCAATAATAAACAATATTACTAACGATAATATAAATAAAATTTCGATCAATGCCAACTTAAAGAAAAAACACTTGGTTATTTTCTGCACTGAGTTGGTATCGATTGCACGTATCACGCGAAAGCAGTACTTTTGAGAGTGCTCGATTGTGCGAAGCGTTGCTCTAGTTGAAACATTCAACGTTGAGCATTATGCCGCATAAAGCGCTTTAGTGCTGTAATTGGTAGGGATCCAGTAGGAGGGATGCGCCATTCTTATTCAGCTCATGTGCCATTGGCTGAAAATTTTGGGGGACCGCTTGAATTTATAATAATTTTTTCGTGTAACCTATTCTATTTTAATATAAATTTTTAATTATCATTAAATATAGTTCTTTTTTTTCTGTATTTGATGCAATTCATTATTTCATAATTATTTCAATGTTTGAATCATTCGCGCGCAAAATCGAGTTCCGGTCCCCCAGCAATGTACATGGCGCATCCCTCCTATAGGATCCCTAGTAATTGGAAAACCACATGAATCACTAAGGCACGGAGGATAGATACCAGGAGTCCGAAAGATATAGGATTTTTCACATTTTTTGTGGTAGTCATATCTCGACCCAAATAATAGTTCTCGTTTTTGCCACTGGCTGCGCAAGTATTCAGAACGTATAGAGCACTATAGAGATGAGTACTCTCATCCGCCATTTTCACTCCTACAGAGAAGACACCAGTATGGTTTTGTATGGTAAACAGGTTTGTTGACATCAAGCGAGATTGAATTATTTATTGATAACTGTGTTAAATTTTATTAAAAAAATTATTTGATAGTTGATGTTAGTACTTAACCTTTCTATTTTTAACATTAAAAGATAGATTAAACTACAAAATACTATTCAGTGATTGATTTTTAAACATGGATAACCTCTCTATTTGGAACGTTTCAGTAATAATTTGGTAAGTAATGTTTTAGTATTACTCTGAAAAATAGATAATCTGTTTAAATTATAAAAATACTGGATTTGTTTAGTAATATATATTAAATATATTGAATAACATATTACAAATAAAAGCTCAATAACTCTTATTTTTATTTTAAAACAGATGAAAAGTATGCCAGTAAAAAAGGAAGACAACANGCTTCACTTTTATTTTTGATTGGATAAGACATTGCTAAACGAGAATAATCATCAATTACTATAAATATTACTATAAATCTGTAACCTTTGGGATAAGAAGCTGGGCTTATCGGTCCCATAATATCACTATGTATTGTTTCCAATGGTCTGGAAGCTTTCTGTCTAAAAGTTTTAAATGGCAATCATTTAATTTTGGCTATTTTACATACTTCACAACTATCCACGATTTCGTTAAATTCGGCAGATTTGGTATCTTTCAAGTGAGGATATTGTTTTTGCAAATTTCTGAGATAATTACTCGATGCATGTCCAAGTCGTACATGCCACAACAAGGCTTTATTCATTTTTACGTTAGTATCTTCCAAGGACATAATTTCATTTTGCGATAATTCTATTTCAGGAATCTCGTCAATATTATGAATAATTCTATCCCTAACTGAATTGAAGATGTCTGGTCTATTTAACTCAGCTATATTTTCAGCTGCTGAGCTTTCCTGTACCTTTTCTACAGAAGAGCTTGCAACATCCGAGATTAAACGTTTTTCTGTATTTTCATCAGTAATTAAAGAAGCCTCACTAGTTTCAGAAGAGTTTGTTTTTCCAATTTCCCTTTTTAATTCTGATTCTTTTTCAATCTGCTCAGCATTTTGAAGTCGAGTAGAACTTCTCGTAAAATACTTATGTTCATGAGAGTTTCCATTTTCACCATCTGTTAAGAAAGCCTTTTGACAATATCTATTCTTATTATAGCCTACCCCGTTACTACTATGATTATCAGACTTGAATTCAATTTCCCAGAAAAGTTTGTTATATATCCCTGTCATAAACGACTCACAAGTCTTTGGGTCGTAAATATCAATTATTTTATCATTCAAATAAACTTCTAGACCCTTTTCTACTAGTTTTCTTAATGAGAGCAAATTTACCGATAGATCTTTAGCATATATGACATTATGCAATTCGCGCGTTTCTCCATTCTGCAAGTTCAATTTTACTGTACCTATACCATTTGCTTGCAAGTCCGCCTGAGAGTTTCTATTAGCAAATTTAATCGATTTAACGTCTGATTCATTTAATCTTTTGAAAATCAACTTAGAGTTCGACAAATGCTCTGTAGCACCCGAGTCCGCGATAAACCGTTCTAGTGTATTATTTCTGTAATTAAAATTGAAGTTATCCGGATATTGCTGACATTTTTCTACAAACAGAACATTACCTTTTTCATTTGACTCACACTCGAAACTCTCACCTGAAAAGGTGCTAGCACCTTGACTACCTCCTTGGCCATTTCTTCGGCCACCACGAATACTAAACCTGCCTCTCTTTGCTCCACGACGACCTAGATCAAACTTGCGCTCACCTTCAGATTTAGACCTACCCTCGTGCTCACGCTTTTGACTAAATTGACCTCTAAATCTGCCTGATCTGCCTCGGCAATGAGTGTTAGTATACCCGCGGCCCTTCTGGTTCAGTGATGAACCACCTTGCTGTCGATGAGCTGGTAATCTGGCTAACGAACAATGTTTAGCTATGTGGCCAGGTTTATCACATACAAAGCAATTTGTTCTCTTTACTTCTTTACATTTCGATGCCAAGTGTCCTGGTCTTTTGCAGTTCTTGCAGTAGCTCTTAAATTCTCTTTGTTGTGACTCAGTCCACAACGCAGTGGTTGTTAAATGTTCTTTGGATGACAGCCTTTCTGTCTCCTCCTTAGTGAGAAAGTCCTTCAATTGAGCATATGTTAAACCACTTCCCTGGTAGCACTTTTTGAGGAAGTCTACACCTTGCACACTTGGTACTGACTTGTAAACCGCGTTGTAAAATGCATTTCTTTTCTCTAGTTCTGATATTTTTTCGGCTCCCGGAAGGTCTTCAAATGTTCGTACAATTTCTTCAAATCTATATATAAAAAATATAAGTATAAGTTCAATATAAACAAGTATGACAAGTTATTTGCTTATAGAGTTTGTTTAATCTATTTGCGATTTTGATCACTTAAAGATGTTGAATATATTGTATGGTTTAAATCATTTAAAGAGTCTATTAACTAGATGTTGTGGAGTATCGAGACATACCGGGAGGGAGTGTTAAGAATAGCGTATATAAGAGACGTTATGTCTTCTCACTCCGCCACCCCTACTTTTTACCCCTACTTCTCCTATGGGCCGCACAGTCCCTTAGTACAGGGCGCTGTTGCGCCCTCTCTTTATTCTGTATTCGGCCTAGCTCTAGGCTTGTTCAACAGTTCTTCCTTTTCCACCGTTTCTTATAATAAATCTTACTTTTGAATATTAACTCTGCGTTGTCTTATTTATCAGCCATACCTTAACATAAATTTAATTTTTTTTCTTTTTTTTTTAATTTAACATTTTGACCAGAAACCCCTTTTTTATAATTTTTTTTTTCCTTTTTTTTTCAACGAACTGTTACACGTTTTTAAGAGAGAAAAAAAAGAATAAAGATCTATGAGAACTCAGAGTTTTGCACTGAGATTTTGCACTTTGAATGTAGAATTAGAGAACGACTAGGAAATAGAGAACTTTGAGTTCCACACGGCAGAACCTATGATCAATGAACCGACAATTGTAGAAGTAAAAAGCGCGATTAAAAAATTAAAAAACCATAAATCACCGAGTAACGACTCGATTCCTGCGGAGCTAATAAAATGGGGGGGNAGAAGGCTAGGGAACCACGCTAACAAGTAGTGGTCACTAGACTAAAACAGTCTGTGCGTAGCCGTTGAGAAGTGTACAACTAAGAAAAGCAAGTCGCATCCCTTAAATAAAAATCATAAAATAAAATTCAGTCTAATATTACCTTTACTCTAGAGAAACCCTCTACAGCAGCAGTGACCGCTGCGATATCTGCCGGAGTCAGTAGGAAGTTACGCTTTACTTCCTACAGTCTGAATTGTGGTAAGAAAGTATTTCTTAACACAGAAATCCTCCTTCCTTCCTCTCATTGTAAATAATCCTTTTACTTAACTCTGATAACAGGCAGTGCTCCTGCGCCCAATAATAGGTACGTCGGTTACGGATAATGTACCTGTGAAGTGTTTTTTAAGCTTTCAGTTTTTAATGAATTTTGCTGTAAGTGAAGAAGAACGCACGCGATAGGATAAGAAAAAAGAAACACAGAAAATAGGTTAGAGAGAAAAAATGAATTATTCTAAATTATTCTTCCCGCCAAAGTAAAAATTGGCATATATGACTTCGTATATACATTCACGCATTATATATGGAGAGAAAAAGACGAGGAGGTATTAAGTCATTACCTGTGAAATGTCCAATTATCCTTAGTATTAAGTTTGATACTCGATTTCTTTGATATTTATTTTTTATTAGGAAGGTACATCATCAGCCTTTCAGATGTACGTTTTAGTTTGTTATTATTCGTCAAATTGCCTTTTGCAGATTAAATTTTATAAACCATGAATAAATAAAAAATTTGTGTTGTTTACGAATGAGTTTCGTCGTGGAACTAATGTAACGCAGACAATTCGAAGTATCAACAAAGTGTTTAACAAAGGTGTAGCTAATGAACGCATAATACGTCGATGGTTTTACTAGTTTCAGTCTGGCAATTTTGATTTTCAAAATTAACCACGTGAGCGACCAAAGAGCAAGGTGGATAATGATTAACTGAAAGGTGTAGTGGAAGCGGATATATCTCAAGGTATAAGCAAGGTTTGACATTTCTATTTTAACAATATTATATCATTTAAAACCAATCGGTAAGGTTAAGAAATTGGATATATGAATTCCAGGTAATTTAATGACAGAATAAAAAATAATGTATATATTAAATCTTAACTTGATATATTAATAAATATGATAAAACTTATATTATTTATTAAATTATTTTCCTTGTCTTTGTTTCTATTTCCCTGTTCCATTATTTCGAGTTGAAATTAGTAATATTATTCGAGCACGAGGACGAAGAGAAGATATAAGAAATTTGTTTTCAACTTTCCTTGGCCTTCTACTTAATTTTATCCAGTTCCTCCTCTCCCGTTCCCTTTCTCTCTCACCCTCTCTCTTTTTCTTTTAATTGTTTCATCCAGTTTTAAGTAAATTGCTTTTTCTCCTTATCGAGTATGCAATTGGATATTTTCGTGGTATTTTTGGAATTTGTTCGTACCTTTCTTTTGTCTTTTTCTTCCTAACCTTGTTTCTATATTTTCGATTTTTCATGGAGCTTAAAGTTTTCTCGTTACTATATAGAGAGGTTACATTATCCTATATTGTTACTTGAAATTTTCCCCAGTAAATGTAAATCCAAAGCAACGTCTTTTTACTTCAATTCTTACTTTTCTATCCCCCTTTTTTTCTCTTTTCTAATTTTCTATTTGCAACTGTGAAGATTTTCCTATTGCGTGTGCATGCGGTAAGTGCATGACTGTGCGTGTGTCTATCGAGGTGCTTGCGGTTAATACATATATATATATATATATATATCGTTTACATTGACAATACGATCTGTATAGTGCATCGCGTCTCTGTTGGATGTTGTTAAAAAATCCGGCAGTAAGCGCGCGCCACAAAAGAGCAGCAGCTGCCATTGCTGGCTGCGCTGGCTGGCGTTCGCTCGCGTTCAGCAAGCGATCGTAAATATATCGCCCTTGGAGTTGTTCCTTTCTTGTCGATCGTCCTCGTATCGTTCGCGTTGCATATACTCGCTGTTGTTGTCATTATCGTTTTTCCCTTTCTTTTATCTTCACCGTCGTCGTCCTCGCTCTCGTCCTCGTCCTCGAAGTAATCATAATCGTAATCGTAATTATAGTTAAACTCGTCATCGTCATTGTCGCCGTTGTCGTCGTCATCGTCATCGTTGTCGTTGTCGTCGTCGTCGTTGTCGTTGTCGTTGTCGTTGTCGTTGTCGTTGTCGTTGTCGTTGTCGTCGTTGTGGAAATAACAGGAAAGAGAAAGGGAAAGGAAGCGAAATAGACAAATAGAGGAAGAAAGAAAGAAGAAAACGGAGAAGAAGAAAAAAAGAGATGTAAAGCATTTAACACGCCACGCGTGGAACATGTTATTGCGGCAGAAACTTAGCGGACATTGAAGAGAAAAAGAGACAGAGAGAGAGTGAGAGAGAAGTCAGCATCGTGTGCGTCGCCGTGTCTGCGTCGCCCAAACGCCGGTTCTTCGTAGCGAGCCTAACCTTTCGATTTGCGGACGCTCGCTCGTTCGCTCATTCGGTTGGTCAGTTCGTAGTTCGTTCGTTCGTTAGTTGGTTCCGAAGTGTTGGTCGGTGGGTCGACCACTCGCTCGCTCTTTCGTTCGTTCGTTCATTCGTTCGTTCGTTCGTTCGTTCGCTCACTCGCTCGCTCGCTCATAAGCTTGCTCATTCGCTCGTTTCAAACTATATCATTCGTACGGCGCGTGTGAGTGCCTGCGGAAGAACGGCTGCTGCTGCGGGTTTGACAGGACGATGAAGTGGCTCGGCGCGAGCACCGCTGGCGCCGGTGGTGAACCGGCACCTTCAATACAACTGCATCATCCTTCAGCCAACGGCCACATACCCACGGTAAGAAAAAAATTTTTTCTTTCTCTCTCTTTCTCTCCTCTTCCTCTATTATTTTCTTATTTCCCTTCTTCCTCTCTCTTTATTTTCTCTGTTTGCTGCTTGCCTACCTATATTTCTTTCTCTTTTTTCTTTCTTTCTTTCTTTCTTTTTCTCCCCCTCCCTTTCTGTCTCTCTCTTTCTTTCCTTCAATTCTTTTTGCTGTCTACCTATCTCTGTCACTCTTTCTCTCTCTCTCTCTCTCTCTGTCTTTTTTTACTTAACCTTCTTCATATTTAATACTTTCTTTTCTATTCCAATCAAAATCAGGAGAATGAACAACTAAATCTGTTTTTAGTGACTTTTTTTCAATACAATTAAGAAATTTACGCTAGTTTATATCAATGACCAATGGTTTGATATGTCTGAGTCACTGTTGATACTTTGATTAACTAACAATAAGTTGTGTTAATATATTTGACATAGGATTATTAGTTTTTTTCCAATAATACAGAATTATTTTAATTGCGTTTAAAGAAAATAAATGCAACGTACAATTGTATGGTTTCTACATATTTGAGTAGATAGCTATTACATTCTACCAATAAATTAATTATATTATTCAAGAAAGACTCATTGGTAATTCTTTGTTTAAGATATATTATCACATTACAATACAAGTGTAAATAAATATATTATAAACAATTTTTGGGAAAAATATATTTTCATCAGCTGCTTCTTAATGTTCGAAGTTCTGAAATATAATGTGTATCTAATAAACGTCATTGTCATAAATGTGGAATCATTTATTGTTAAAAGGATGCAGAACAGTGTAGTCAAGCCATGGCAGGTGGTGACAGTATGCGAATACAACCTGGTCAAGCTCATCAGATTGGAGCTAGTAGAACTCAAGACGATGCAATGGTTGGATATGTGTTTCAAAGACCTACCGAACCAGAATTTAATGCACAATCTGCTAATTTTCAAACAAAACAAGCACCAAGAACATGGACGTTAGCGGATGATACAATTGTCGATAATGTAAGTATAAATCTTGAATAGTTTTATTACGATGATAGGTAAACAATAATATAAAATATTATATAATTTTGTAAATGATTTCAGAATCAAGAGAAATGGAAATATCCCATGACTAAACTTAGTATACCGCAACAAAGTCAACCACAACAATTGAATTTACAAACAATGAATAACATACATTTACCATATGAGATTCATCCAATGCAACTTAAGGTAATTGCATATGTTTCTCCCTATGTGTAATATATAAATTTTATTGGTTATGGTACTCATTGTCGGTGTACAAATAATTAATAAATTTTGTGTGTTGCTAGAGCGGAGCTCCTGGAGCAGAGCATTTGGTTTATCTTAACAATCAAATGACAGCACAACAACAGGTTGCACTTTTTCATCATCAGCATCAGCAGCAGCAACAACAGCAGCAATTTAGAAACGGACAAGTGAGTACTACATTAAAGATCAAAATTAATCTTATATAAGTGGTTATGTCGTAGCAATTAAGAGAAATTTTATTTCCTAGAGAAAATATTGAAGTTTTATTTTAACATGAATTTTTAAATCACACTCATATACATTATAGCGCAGACCAATCGAGCTATTCAATTAAAATTTCTGATTTGACAAAGCAACTAAAATAAATAATGCGTATAGATTCTATCACTATACAGTTATTATAAATTATACAGATCTTATTGTACTTTATATATCGATATTGTTTATTATATTGCACATAAATTATCTAGAGCTTTTAAACATGTGCATAAATTCATTCATATCGTTTTGCATGGGATCATTATGTATTTGCATCATTTAAAATATAGATATTATGTGTTTTATAGAATTATGATGTTTTCATTAAGAACGTGTATTCAAAAATACACTATTTTTATATTTTTTGATAAATATTTTAAATCGATAACATTATTATCATTTTAACATCAAATAATATAATAACAAATAACATGTTTATAATCAATTGTAAGCAGTATTCTTAATTTTAAGATTAATTATTTCTTGTAGAAATATCTATCGCGAATTATATATCAATAATTAAAAATTTTAGGTGTATTGAAATTGAAATAAATCAATTTAGGTTATGATTGATTTTGTGCGTCACGGGGAGAGGCAAGGCCCACTCGATGTGTAAATTTGGAAAAATCGTGTCAAGGTTGAAATTTGGCTACTTCGTTGTTTATACTCTATCCAATAATTAAGATAGATATTGCTACTCGTTGTGCAAAAATTTGATCGCAACATCGAATTGAATTTGTCAATTTGTATTTCGCGCGCCATTTATTTAAAAAAAAAAAGAGAATGCTGCTCGAAGTTTTGGCGGTTATTTAGAGTCGCATATGAAAATTCGAACATTCAAGATAGTTTGTAGTAAGAAGATAATTACGTTTAAAATAGTGAATGTCATTGGAATATCGTTGATAAAACTTATTGTGTTAGTCGATTTTCGAAACATCTTATCGTTGAGCTTAATCATTTTACCGTCTAAATATCATTATATGATTGTTATATTCAACGTTGTCACAGGTAAATTAGGTTAATTTTTAAAATGTTATTGAACAAGGTAATTCGTTGTTTTAATCGTTCTGTAATTTCTATTATCATTCACTACTATATCGAGCTTACATCTTTAAATTATAATATTGCATGTTTGTTAAAAAAAAAAAAAAAAAAAAAAACTAAATGTTGACTCGTTAAGTCGAGTTTGTCCATGCGGTGAGAAACTCTTGAATTTACCGTGAGAGGGAGGAAGGCGAGGCTCAAAAGAATGGTATAACACAACGAATGTGTTTGGACGAAGGGTAGGCGCGAATTTTCTTGAAAATTCGTTGATTGGTTGGAGCGAGTAGACGGTCGCGTGGTAGCTGGCATATTGTGGGGGTGCGGGGTGAAGAAAGAGATCTAGTTATTTACCGTCAACGGTAGAGTGCGCTAGTGTCGCGCGTCGTTCTTTGTTTCATTTGGGCGATCAGTTCGTCTCGTCCAGCAGCGCAGGGAGGCCGGTCGAACAAGAAAATTTTCGATATAAACGAGGGGTGTCTAAGCTATTATTCGTAATAATCCTAGAAACAAAACGCCGAACATTTACCCCGAAAAGAGCTCGAAAGACAACGCGCATTCTCCGCGATATGCTGGTGCTAGTGCTGCTAGGACGAACGTGAAGTTGCTCGAGTTAACGCGTTTCGATCGATTTGGAAGGCTCCCGTGTATATTCTCCTGGAAAATAAAATTCATATTTCTCGCGTAGTGTGAAAATAGTGTGCTGCAAAGTGTAAGTGATTGAAGGAGAGAAAGGTATTGTATTTGTGAGCTGGAAAAGAAAAAAGAAAAGAAGGAAGAAGATAGTGTCGGATTAGGGGAAAAAAGCTTTTCCGGTGTGTCGTTGGTGTTAAGAAAGAAAAGTTTAAGAAATAAGTAACAGGGAAGAAGGTTTCAAATAGCGGCGTTAGCATCGGTTTACGTACACCGTTGGTGTTGGAATCGTTGAACGGGCGGACCCAAGGATTCTCTATCTCTCTTTCTCGTCTTTTTCTTTTTTCTCTCTCTGTCTCTCTCTTTCTCCGTCTCTTTCCGTGTTTCTCTTTATTAGTCTATCCCTTTCTTCCTTTTTCTTTTGTGCCTCTTTTACGTCACTAAATCCCTATCCTGCTCATCGGTTGGTGTGCCGGCATCAAGAGCGATACGATACAGACAGACGGACCGTGCACGTTTTTTTTTCCTTCTTCTTCTTATCCTATAATAAGCAAATAGAAAAGTCAAAGAAAGGAAAAGGATTAGAAGATTAAAGAATAAGAAAATAAAAACAAATCATTGTGTCGAGTGGTGGCGCAGGATAGAAGAGAGAAGTGGTGGTGGCGTAGTGCGACGAGTTAGATCACACAACCGGCATCGCATCGTCCACCCTAATTCCTTCACCTTCTCTCTTCGTAGAAGTTATTGGACGCACCGGTAGAAGGGGGGCCGCCCTTTTAAAACAAAGAGTGAGAAAGAGAGAGAGAAAGACAGACAGGCATAATCTCCGGCGTCTTTCTTAACTACCATCACTTGCATCATTATATCTACTAACACCATATCATTAACCTTTTTCGTATTTTATTTGCCCTTGGTCATTATCAGTCGATTTCTCGTTGAAAAAAATTATTCTTCCTTGTTGTGCCCTTTTGTTACCCCCTCTTCCATCGATCGAGCAGTACATGTGAGAAGTAGTAGAAGTAGAAGAAGAAGCAAAAGAAGAGAGTGCTGCGCCGCTTTGAGTTTCTTTTCGTCCGGCGCGTGTTTGTTTGTGCTACCACAACGAAACGGGGTTAACGGCGAATCCAGTAACGACAACAACAGTGGTAGTAACGACGCAACGAGTTCTACTTACCTCGGATACGGTGGAGAGTTTCGGTGTAGGATACGGCCAGGGTGCAAGCACCAGTACAGGCGACTGGATGAAACCACCGGGGGACTTATTCTTTTACTGCGATATGAAGGATCTGGGAGCCGATATGGTATTTACACAATCCTAACAACCATCTCATTCGTTTCTTAATCCCTTTATATCAACCCCATCCATCTTGATTGTTATCATATTCTATTTTTATTTTCTTTCATTAAAAACCTATTTCTTTATTCATGTTTCCTTTTTATATATTTTTTTCAATTACATTTGTATTATTAGTTCTGCGAGAAGAAGCAGCTAAAGTATATTATCGCCAAATTCGTCCATGCTAGTAATAAATCATAAATTCGGTTTTAGGTTATGGTCGTTCTATAGTCGAAGAACTATGTCGCGCGCATCGCATGGAACAAGTCTCTTGGACACGCGCGCGCTCTCCTATTTTTCCTTTCCTTTCCTTTCTTTTCTTTATTTTTTTTTTTGCGTTCTTTCTCTTTGAGGTTATCATACATAATATTTCTCTCTTTTTCTCTAACTTTTTTGTAGGTATTTTTTCTTTTCTTTCTTAGTTTTCTCGAGATTAGAGGTATTTGTTTTTAGATTAGAATTCGTTTTTACTAAATTTTATTTATACTAATCGCAGAAATAAATAATTTATTTAATACAATATTTAATTTAATTTAATTTAATTTAATTTAATTTAATTTAATTTAATTTTGTAGATATTCAATAATTCATTTAATGCATATAATTTATTATAATGTTGATTAACATATTTACGACTAGGGTTGTTCCGAACCAAGATGTTTAGCTGGATACCTCACATAATTATTTGAAATATTAAACACATTGTTAAACGAAGAAACAATTAATATTTCAATTTAACAAGTTTACCTATATCAAATATAATCCAAATTAAACATTTAACAATCAAATAAAATTGAATAAACAAATTAATTACAAATTATGTAAATAAAATGCGTAAACGTTGATAACGTTATCGTTATTATCTCTTCTTATAAATTTGAATCGGTTATTGATTTATTTATAACGTAGAATGAATTTTTAGATATTGATCCTTCAAAAAACAAGGATTAACATCGTCAACAAGTTTAAGGATTATATAGTAGAGTATTGAATGATAATAATAATTAAGTATTAACAAATTCAGAGTTATAAGAAGAAGAAGAACATATGAGAATGGATTAAAAAGTTCTGAATCTCAACCGAAAGAAAACTTACTTTTTCTTAAAAGTAAAAGTGAGTTTGATCAAAAAAGGGATTGTTTCTTTTTTTATGCTAAAAACTTTTCAACTGTACCCATGTACAAGATGTCCCAAGAAAAGAAGAACAACAAAAAATAATCAATATTTATTCATTAATAAAACTGCAATATTTTGTCTTTAATTCTAATATATGAATTTGTAATTAGTGCAGTGTTTTAACTACAAATTATTGACACGCGTCGAATCAACACCTTCACTCTAAATAATTATTTAAAATATTTGTCAAAAATAAATTTTGTAGTTTGGTAAATCAACTTTTTGGGCATCCTGTGTGTGAGTCATCATTCACAACACATTAATAAATAATATGCATAACGTTATTTCATTTGTTGCTTGATTTCCTAGATTCACGAGAAGTAGTAGTGACACGTACAGGTGTGACATACGTGTCGTTGAACCTAAACGCATCACGTTTCCCGTGGCCTATCACTGAATACGTATGACAAGGACGTAAACTTGCTCGTTATCATACTCATTATTTATTATCGAACGTTTACGAGATTCACAAGATTCGCATAATCTTAGAATGTGTGTTCATTGCCATCATCATCATCATCATCATCATCATCATAATCATCATCATAATCATCATTATCATTATCATTATCATAACCAGCTGTAAGATATATACGCATATCGGTTTATATTAGATCTAGTACTCAAATTCATAAATCCACGAGTGTGTGAGATAATAAGTGGTCTCTAGTGTGTGTTGTATCGACTACGTCATATACGTTGTTACGTTTCAAAGATTCATACAAACATATTACATTTGGCATACAAGAGAAATCGCGTGACGTAATTATCTCAGCACGAGATTCCGATAGTATCGTAATAATGTAAACATAAATATAGGCCGATCGAGATTCCGACAGAGACGACGACGATGACGAACACACACCATCTCATTACTTTGATCACGAATTTTGTCAAGTTTTATGCGTACGCGATACGAAAAGTTTAATCTTCAATCTTTATTCTTTTTTTTTTTTAAATATTTTTTTTTATTTTAAATACAGATATAGATAAGAGAAGGATATAATAAAGAAATTATATTGACGTTTTTAGTCATAGTTTCGAAGGAAGAAAAAAAGAAATAAATAAAAAAATAAAAACTGAAAAAAAAAAAATAAATAAACAGTGTTAGAAGGAGAGAAAGATAATGGAGGGAACTTGTTTGGTTGGGTGCTCTAACGCGCGCGGACAGTGGCCGTGACCCGTGGCCGGGGGCCTGGGGAGGGGTCGGTGGCCCCGTGGCTGTTTAGCGACGTCCACGGTGCGCGTCGGAAGACCGCCTGCCTGCCTGCCTGCTTGCTTGCTTGCTTGCTTGCTGCTTGCTTGTGGTCGCGATGGTGGGGGTGAGTAGACGGCTAGGCGTGCATTGGTGGGAAGAATTTTCTCTCTCCATCTAGTGGTGGGTGGTGAACGCGCCTGAAAGGGTACAGGGGAGAGGGAAATAGTCGCGCGGAGGGTTGCGCGCCCCCCGCGTGTTACGCGGTAGCAAGAAGGAGAAAACCATTTACAAGGTAGGTGAGGGGAAGAAGGATGAGGATGAGGATGAGGATGAGAGGGTAGGTGGTATTCCCGTCATTCTCGTTCTCTCTTTCTCTCTCTCCCCCCTCTCTTTCGTTCTCTCCCACGCGTCGCGAAAGCGTCTCCACCGGCCGGCGTCGCGGTCGATACTCGTGGCATATCATCCCCGGCTGACCGAGCCTTACCTTTACTCTCTTTCTCTTTCTTTCTTTCTTTCTTCTTACTTTAAATCATATTCTCAAGTTTTGATCGATGCGAAATGTTTCATTGAGACCATTTGATCTCTTTGTTCTTTCTTTTTATTTATTTATTTATTTATTTATTTATTTATTTATTTATTTATTTATTTATTATTATTATTATTATTATTATTATTATTATTATTATTATTATTATTATTATTATTATTATTATTATTATTGTTATCTGTCTTTATTTCTCTTTTTTATTTTTTCCTTTTCTTTTTGTCTCGGCCCCGAATGAAAACATTCTTCTGTCTTTTAAATTCAGATCACGTAGCTGAGAATTTTCTCCTTCGTATATAAGGAAATAACTTTTCTTGAAAGTTGCGTTGTGTTGTATTAAATCGAACGTTGAATTTCAAGCAATTGTTATGTTTTTTTTCTTTCTTTATTTATTTCTTTCTTCCTTCTTCTTTGGTTTTTGGTATCTTGACAAAATCTTTCCCCTTATTGGTTCGATTTAACGACTTTGTATACTAACGAAGTCCCTGATTTCGTCCAATACGTTAGTTTTTAAAACAAATTGATTGAAAAACTGTGGATTTGATAAAAATCGAACGAGTTATATGCGGCTTTGTAAACCGGTTACAATCCCATAGGAAAAATGGTCGATTGAAATGGACGTGGATCATCTGCCTACCCCTATATCTCCCGATACAAATGTGATACAACCAAGATTATTTTTTTGTCTCTTTTGCATAATGAAATTTTGTTCTATTAGTATTTTTTCTTGATACCTGACACCGCATTTCATTATACTTTCATCAAATTAATACCTGGAGTAAATTAATTAAATATAATTGAATATAATTTTTCTTTTTGTCAAAGTTTTTATTTACTCCATAATTAATCGATTTAATTTATCGTGTAAATTTTAGTTTTTGTCTTTTTTTCTAATTCAAAGTTTTCAAGTTTTGAAGTTATATGTTCTTGCTGATAGCAATCGATTCGTTCCAGTACTATGCCATTAGATTATTATTTACATTAGGTATATAGTACATGCGTTCTCTATCTATGTTATATCGTACCATTGTTACGGCACACACGTATCAGAATACACCTGTATAGAGAGAATTCCGTGATCCTCGTGCGTCTCCGTGTTTCTCTCTTCCTCGATACTCTTTTTACCGCGTTCTATTACGTCATGGATCTTAAGTTGCGTGAGGTTAGGATCGGTGCAACGGCCCCTCGGCGAACAACTATATGTAGTTAAGTCCCGAATGGAAACTACACTTTTGTTTTCTCTTAATCAAAACAGGTGCGATTTGTACGAATAAACGATCAATAAATTTATTTTTTATTCGATTTATTTTTAATTATTAATATCTACATTAACAAATACAGAAACTAAACGTTTATACGTTAAAATATAATAAATAAATACGCGTATGTGTATGTATATATGCATATATATTTGGGTTATTGGGTGTTCGATATCTTGAGTTCTGCTCGGGCAAACTCTGGCAATTCGAAATTCATGTTATCAATTGTTTAATAATATAAATAATGTAAATACATTTAAGAAACATTGTTTTTTAATTAAAGGCAAAAATTTTATTTGTTATAATATCGTCCGTAATTTCGGAAAACCACACACATAGACACACTTCTGATATTTATATATGATTTAAATAAGAAAATTTGTATAGAATTTAAACAAGTTTTCAACTTATTAAAATGTAAATGAATTTATTCTTACATAGATGATAAGAGAAATTTGTTCGATCCAACTGCCGATCTATATAAACCTTTGTTTTTTAATATTCTAGATCGCTCCCTCGGCAAAAAAGCTTTGGGGTGTGGACGAAGGCGGTTCCAAGGACGAGGGTGGCGTAAAAGGTGGTGGGGGGATACTTCACCTGGGCGACCACCAAATGTGGCGAGATTCAACTTGGAGTACTTCAGGTATATTTTCTCATATGTTACACATTTCAAATGATCGATCCCGTTGATTAGACCAAATCAATTATTCATCCCAATTTGAATATCTTTGTTTGTTATGTCTTTAAACTATTTTGTTTATCCTTACCATTCTATTCTTTGATGATTATTGTTACAAAGGTCATATCATGTCCATCTATTCCGTGTTATAAATATCTGATCGATCGATTGATATAGAGTTTGAATACGATCGTATGTTGATTCAACGATGATGTATTTGACGAGGCATCGTATGTTGGTATGACAAATGAGAGTTTAATTATTGATTACAAAATATACCATTAAAGTTAGCCAAAGTCTAGCTAGCTTTCACTTTTGTTGTTCACATTACTGAATGAGAAGAAGAGGAGAAATAATTCTTCTTCCTGCTTTTGAGTGAAATTTAGTATATGTAATGGTAGCACCAGTAGTAGTAGTAGTAGTAGTAGTAGTAGTAGTAGTAGTAGTAGTAGTAGTAGTAGTAGTAGTAGTAGTAGTAGTAGCAGCAGCAGCAGCAGAAGCAGCAGCATGTGAATAAGAGAAGATGTGTCTCGGTACCGTTGGCATGTTGTGTGTTGGGGCGCAAGAGTGGTAGGCAACGTATGTTGCGAAACTGAACACTTGATTCCGTGACTTGAACGTGCACATGCGAGACGGTCCTGCGTGTGCGCCGCCTCCTCACGAGGATGGGTGCAACGCGGCTGTTGCTATGGCGACAGACGCCCGGCATCGGCATCGAGGGCGGTATAGGGGCAATGTCCCAACAACGCCAGGGACGTGCCTACCGATCCACCCTATGACAATCTTCAACCCTCCCCTTCACCCTCACCCTCTTTTCTTAACCTTTTTCAATCCCTTCGATTAACCAACATTCCATCGCTAGAGGGATGAAGAAGAAGAAGAAGAAGGGGTCTTTGCTAATTTTAATGTCTTCTTCAATTTTTTTTTTCTCAACAGATAATTAATCCTAGGTAGTTCCGATCAATGATTTATAATTACAATTTGAATAGACGATAACAAGAAATATAATTTATTTCTTTTTCTCTTCTTCTTATAAATTGATGTGATCATCTAATTTTATTTGTTTGTTTATTTTTTGTTTCTATTTTTTAATAGATCATGCGGTATCTCAACCAATATCGATGGGTAGACGCGTGGGTGTTGGTACTGGATATCATCATCAAACTTCTGAAGTTGGGACAGTTCTCAGTCCTAGAAGCAGGTTGGTTAAATATTATTTTTTATTTATTTTAAATGACATTACTACGAATTTATATTTATATATACTAAGAAATTTAATTGTGATCTAATATTTCAAAACTTTGGTATATAAGATCTTCTCTTTTAAGTGAAACGGGTGGATTGGGAGTTAAGATGGTGGAATATGTTCTTGGTTCAAGTCCCACGACACCTAAGGATTTAGAACCTCGAATGGGATCTCTTCGATTGGTAAATTTGATAAATTGAAATAAATATAAAATCTTTTCATTTATATTTACATACATATACTTACGTTTTTTTTCTTCCATATAGAATACTGACACAGACAAAAAAGAAAAAGATAAAGGATCGGCAAGTCCATTTGATAATTCGAAAGACGATTCTGGTCCACAAGGAAATGGATTAGCTTCACAAAATGGTCTTGACGATGATAAAGGTTTCAAGTAAGTATTAGTCGATGAGAAGAAAAAGAAACGAAACGAAACATTCATTTCTCACATCGTTCAAATTTCATATCGATTTTTGTTCATTGGTTTTATTTGAAAGTCATTAAGAATTAATTAGAATGTAAACTCTTTTCTTAGAATATTCTTCCATACTTGCAAGAAAAAGAGATAAACATACATACGAATATGTATCAATGATAATTGTGTTGTCGTCGATAAGCGAAAGAAAAAAAAGAAGAATACATGCATATCAAATTGTTACATTACGTTTCAAACAATCGTATTAACAGCTTAGAGATAATTTAAATGTATTATGTTGTTATATATCGCATAATTGCGAATATTTATCAAGGTTTTAGCCGGACACGCTGAGAAGAAACGTCATAGAGATAATATTGTCAAGGGCGTGAAAGCAGTTTTGATTTTGTTTGCTGCTGTGTTTTGCTTGCACGCGGTCGTCGGCATTACGCGTACACGTGTTTTATATCATATTGTCACTTTTCGTTAACTAGCGCCATCTGTGACTCTGATCAAAAGTACTTTGTAAAGAAACATTACCGACACTTTCACAAGATAAGTTTTCTCTTTTCCGTTGGTACGTTAGATATTTTTTTTTTCTCTCGATCGATTAACTTAAATTTATCGATTAAATTAAAAATTATTATATATATATATATATATATATATATATATATATATATATTTATTTATTTATTTATTTATTTTTTGGACGTTTTTATTTTATCGATTTATTCGTGCTGATATAAGATTATTATAAATTTAATTTGACTCGTCGATTATTTATTATCAAGCAGGTCAATTTTGCAATTAAGTTTTATCGTTCGCATTATAATTATGTTTAATGCATTGTTATTAGTTAAAAATAATGTTTACATTTTATGACTAAATCTTGTTGAACCTTATAGGTTAATTTTTGATTGTGAAATTAAAATTCCAAGATTAGGTTCTTGTGGTGTGATTTAGATTTTTATGTTTAAAATACTAGGTTTTCGTATTTGTCTATGAATATGATACTTGAGTTTTTCTTATGATATCAATGAGAAAAATATATTTTTTTTAAACTATGTTATACAAGTATCAGAACCAACAATGCGGTCCCTGACATTTACGACAATGATTTCTTCGTATCTGGAGAAACTACGTCATTCTCTTTATATAGAAAAAGCATGTCTTCTCTATAGTGTGTTTCACTTTCTTTCGTAAAGTTTAATTACGATCGATAACAATTTTGTCATGATCATTATTGTAATAGTAATTTAGATTCAATAGCTAAAAGTTAATTAAATTCAAATGAATTCGAACGAAATATACAATTATTATTGTTTCTTTAATTATTATTATTATTTATTTATCTTTTTTGTCTACAGTCGTACACCAGGAAGTCGTCAACCATCACCAGGTGAAGAGGAATTTCAAAAAAATGCGGCTGCAACGTTAGCAGTTAGCGCAGGCGGTGCCGGCGTAGTTTTATTAAAACCAGGTGTTGATGTTGTTGGAAGTGAGGAACATTTTATGGCAGCTTTTGCTGCAGCACCACCGCACCATCTTCAACATCATCAGGCACCACCAACACATCACCTTCAGCATCCCCATTCTCATGCGGCGCAATTGTTTGGTGCACAGGCACCACCACCCCCGCAAGCACCACCACCATCTCAACAACAGCAACAACAACAAGGACCACCCCAACCGCAAGACACTACAACCCATTTTGATGTACAGGTAAGTCCAGTTTCTTTCTTTACTATAAATATATATATATATATTTATTTATTTTATAGTTTTGATCTACGAAAAGATGCCGAATAATATTTTACGTGTGTATTTTATTTCTTTGTCGTGTAAATGATCAGGATATAAAAGGAATTTTTTTATTGGTGTTTATCACCAATTCTCCATCTTGTCATCACTTTATTTCCGCATTGGATTCTATTCAGTTTTTCCATTATTTGTTCGTTTTAAACGAATAAAGTTGTTTATTTAGTCATAGTATTGTTTAGGATTTTATCAAGAAAGATATAATTTATGAATCGTCTTTTTATCGATTTTAATAACAGTATTTTTAAACACATTAGTAATAATGAACAAACTATTTAACATTATGTTATAATACAAATTAAAAGAAATTCTTCTTATCTTTTCATAGAATAGATGCGTTCTTATATCGAGGTCTTGCGTTATAGTAAAGTTAACGCAATTATATATTTAAAAGTCTTATTACTTTTAGCTATGAAATATTACAGCTATTATACTATCGTACGCATGCCAGTTAACCGCACGAATTCATGATTATTAATATGAGAGTACCGTTAGAAATGTATAAACTAAGCCTATCGTTACGACAACAGTTTCGTAGCAAACGTTCGTTGGTTAGAATCAAGTTAGAAGTTTCATCTTCTGAAAGAGAAATATATAATTATATGATTTACACGAAAAAAGGAGAAAAGAAAAGAAGATATCTTTTTCACAAATATTATGTATTTTTCAATTACACGTAATATTTGTATCCTATTCTCGAACTTTCAATTATTACTACAGTCGTTCTGTATCTTTAATTGGAAACTATGATCATTTAAATATAATTTCTTAAGTTATAGATCATTGCAAAATCCGTTACATTTTAATTTAACAATCTAAAATATTAAACATTACACGAAAGAATTAATTTACTACGTTATTGTTTTATATAAATTGATGTTTAAGTTAATTATTCGATAAACTGACAAGCATAGGGATGAAAAAAACATAAGCCGCATCTAAATGGTTAAGTAATAAAAAAAAAAACGGTATACTTACAGGAGAAACACTATATGCACATTATAGTTTATACACTATTAATTATTGTTCATTAACTTGATCTATTTTTTCATCTAACTGACGTGTTGATAAAATACAAAATCACGTTTAATTAAATATTTTCTCAGATAAAATAGTTTGTAAGTTTAATTTTCACGAAACGTTACCACGAAATAAAGGAAAAATGTCAAAGATATTTGCACGCGCGCCTCTGGATGAATTTGAACAACAAAGGAATTTTAAGAAAGGGTGAGATTAAGGGGGTGGTTGTAGGTGGTTTGAAAGAAGGATGAGGGTGAAGAGGGGGAGATGGAGGGGGAGTGGGAAGAACGACCTTGTCCTGCGGCGCAGACAAACGTATAAATCATAGAGTGACAGCCTCTCGACGTCTACTTCCAAACCTATTCGGAAAATAGAACGGTCGATATACGTCTAACCATTTTGTCGACATTCACCACACAGGTTCATATATTATACATGAATATGCGCACATATATATCATATATACATATATTACAAAATTTGTACTTTCATCTCATATGAATTAGCATCGAATCATCGTCCACGTGTATACATAATAATATTGGCAAATGTATTATTTAGGTTCCTATTTATTCGTTAGATTCTTCGAAAATTTCATCACCAATTTTCTTTATAAATGTTACTTTTTATATACCTTCGTATAAATACATTTATATGAAATATATAGGGTGTATATATATATTATATATATGTTATATAAATTTTATTTATTTTTATTTATTAATAATCATTATTGATCAAAGACTTTAAAGAATTAATTTGAGGATGGAATACAGTTGAAATTAGCCTTCATTCGACTTATATATTTTAATATACAATACTAATATACCATCATACACATATATACATATTAT